CCTTAATGTACTTTTTTTTACAAATCTCAAGAACAAACTAGAGCACTCGGGAATATATTCTTGTATGCTCGAGTTTGATGTACAGGTTGATTATATGTGATGCTCGTTTCGCTGTTCGTAAGTATAAAATCATTTGATAGAATATCTTACATGATCCGTAAGCGACTCTGTGCAAATTGACACTAGATATTTCGTAACTTGTACTGCAGCTTAATTGTTATTTGCTTTTATGGTAATGGACGGCAAACCGATAGCGTATGACCCAAAAAGTTATAACTTTAGTTGCAAATGGACATGTTGACTACTAATTTAGATAACGGTATTTAGCTCGCAGTTGCTTTAGGCACGTCTGCGCGACAGAACACTGAGGTATCAATACTATTGGATGAGAAGAACTCCTCATAAACTTATAGGTGTGAATATCCGCTGATGGAGATTAATCAACAATTAATCAATTAATTTTCAATTACACCTGAGATATTATTAAATACTAACTAGATAAAATTAAAAATGTAGATGAAAATCAAATATACCAAATGTAAATCACCAAATGATTATTAGCAAAAACATAGTTCTGTCAGATTATAATTGCTATCTTTTACTCTTTCTCTGGTGCTTGAAGAATAGCCTTGAGTCGTTTCTGTGCGGCAAAGAGCTCCCAATTACACGTAAAACTAAGCAGAAAACCATATCCGATCAAATGTAGTTCCCGTAGCTGATACAAATTAGCAACGCTAAGCGCAGATCGAACGATTGCAACAGAGATTTACTGGTGGTAGGACCTCTTGTGAGTCCGCGCGGGTGGGTATCACCGCCCTGCCTATTTCTGCCGTGAAGCAGTAATGTGTTTCGGTTTGAAGGGTGGGGCAGCCGTTGTAACTATACTTGAGACCTTAGAACTTGTATCTCAAGGTGGGTGGCGCATTTACGTTGTGGATGTCTATGGGCTCCAGTAACCACTTAACACCAGGTGGGCTGTGAGCTCGTCCACCCATCTAAGCAATAAAAAAAAAAGATGTCTTTATTTATTTTTCATTGCAATTTTAGGCAGACGAGTATACCTGATGGCGAGTAAGTAGTCGTCGTCGCTAATGGGTGTTAGCAATTCTAGAGATAAAGCCAAGCTGTAGTCTACTGCAATTCATTTTACTCGAAAGCCACATGTCATATGTATGATCAGATTAGTTAGATCCATCCAAACATACAATCAAACACTTAAATACCAAATTACGACAATATGTCAAAAGCTATGAGGAATAGAAGCTACTTTGTTAAGAAAAAAAAAACAGTTATGATTTCAACAGTCAGCATCGGCTAACTACCTAAAAGAGATTAAGATTTTAATGTATTATAAGATAGTTAAAATGCCTTCTCCATTAACATGAATAGTTCGATGTGTTCGGTCAGGTTTACAGAGCCCGCGGCCCTGCTCTCTCATTGTTCCGGAGTCAGACTCTTGGTCCAGGCTGCTCTATTGTTACTTTTTCGCCACCTCTCCACACAACTAATGGTGTATTCATTTTATTTTGCTATTGTACAATTCTGGACGTAGCTAGGATGTTAGATTCTTTGGCCACCCAGAGTTCGACAATCCCTACCTGAAAGTGACCACCATAGTCTATTACTAATATATGAAAGAAAAACCAATTTTGTTGTTCTGCGCTATTATTCCTGATATTCTTGCAAAGTTTAGCAACAATATTACCTATTTCTAAGTCGTCGTGGCCTAAAGGATAAGACATCCGGTCCATTCGTGTTGAGCGATGCACCGGTGTTCGAATCCCGCAGGCGGGTACCAATTTTTCTAATGAAATACGTACTCAACAAATGCTCACGTACATGTACCACCACTCTACCTATTTCTGCCGTGAAGCAGTAATGCGTTTCGGTTTGAAGGGTGGGGCAGCCGCTGTAACTATACTTGAGACCTTAGAACTGATATTTCAAGATGGTTGGCGAATTTATGTTGTAGATGTCTATGGGCTCCAGTAACCACTTAACACCAGGTGGGCCGTGAGCTCGTCCAACCATCTAAGCAATAAACAAAAATAATTTTTTTTTTAACTATAATCAATAGATATGTTAAATTTACATAATTCATAAAATTATATCCTTCTATTTTATCAACATTTCTATTTACACAATAAAAAGGCTTCAATGCAAAGGCACGCCTGATGATCTGGTCGGCGTCCGGACGGAGCAGGTGTGAGCGATCAATTAAAAACGATCAGATTACAGCACGTGCCGCGACTGCACCGCTCATCTCAGGTGTGGTACAAGACATACGATCTTGTACTTCATTAAAACCACCAAAATTATTACGCAAAATTATAATTTGCGTAATTAATGGTGGTAGGACCTCTTGTGAGTCCGCGCGGGTTGTGGTGGTGCCTATTTCTGCCGTGAAGCAGTAATGCGTTTCGGTTTGAAGGGTGGGGCAGCCGTTGTAACTATACTGAGACCTTAGAACTTATATCTCAAGGTGGGTGGCGCATTTACGTTGTAGATGTCTATGGGCTCCAGTAACCACTTAACACCAGGTGGGCTGTGAGCTCTTCCACCCATCTAAGCAATAAAAAAAAACCTGCCACATTTTACCATGAAACAAGCATACCCATTTAAGTTTTTTTTATTGCCCTTGTAGGCTGACGAGCCTGGTAGTGAGTGGTTACCGTCGCCCATAGACTTCAGCAATGCCAGGGCAGAACCAACCTGCTGCCTACCGTTAAGTACTCTCCACAAGCCTCGTTTGAAGAAGGACATGTCATAACGCTCGGGAAGCAATGTAGAGGGAAGCTCATTCTAAAGCCGGATGGTACGTGGCAAAAAAGATCTTTGAAAGGCAAAAACTGGTGGTCACTGTATCTATATATATATAAAAATGAATGCTGTTCGTTAGTCTCGCTAAAACTCGAGAACGGCTGGACCGAAATGGCTAATTTTGGTCTTGAATTTATTATTTGTGGAAGTCCAGAGAAGGATTAAAAGGTAAATAAATATGAAAATTCCCGGAATTAAATAAAAATAACAATTTTGTTTTTCCTTTGATTTGTCCCCCGTCAGACGGATTCCTTTTGTTTGTTTTAAGTTTATTTAATACAAAATTTATTTTATTTATCGATTGAGGTACTACGAAGTCTGCCGGGTCAGCTAGTCAATTAATAAAAATAAGAATATTAGTTCCGCTAACATAAATAGTTAATCGAGTTTTCACAATTCCATAGGCATAATAATTTCTACGATAAATTTATATGACAATTTGGAAACATGTATTCCTATTAGAAATTTTGTGTTTCGAAGACTACTAAATGAGTAAGGCGATCTTTCGAATAATTAAAAACTTTCTCATGAATTGGACAAGACTATAAAATATCGAAGGGAAGTCGTATCGCTCGACGGAGATTCGCGTCGGACGATATTCACGATCGTGTATTGCGGAGACAGACACAAGCTCGCTAGAAATATTGAACTATGAATGAAGAGCGGTATTTTTATTACCATTTGTATATTTCAAGTTATCGGGTCTAAGGTATTTTTATGGCTTTAACCGTTGTTTTTACACCTCATTTACAATACAATTGTTTATTTAATTGAGAAACAAGCAGAATAAATAATATTCAAACACTATGTACTATTTTACTGGTGGTAGGACCTCTTGTGAGTCCTAGCGGCCACCTCCACCGCCCTGCTTATTTCTGCCGTGAAGCAGTATTGCGTTTCGGTTTGAAAGGTGGAGCAGCCGATGTAACTATACTGAGACCTTAGAACTTCTTTCTCAAGGTGGGTGGCGCATTTACGTTGTGGATGTCTATGGGCTCCAGTAAGACCTCCACTTAAGACCGGATGGGCTGTGACTCGTCCACCCATCTAAGTAATACAAAAAAAAAACACTATATAAGAAGGCGTGTGCGAACATTTCAATCTAGAGCACTAAGAGCAATAGTAGCTCATGTAGTATCAATAGTCCGCACGTAAGCAGTAATTATGGAAGATATATTGTATTGTTTTATTGAATTCGATCCCGTTTCCCCACAGTAGAAGTCGCGCACACAGATGTGAGGTTCTTATAAGCTTCAAGCATCCAACCCAAGCGAACCTTCACAGTTAACACAGATCTAAGTAATTCAGTACATCAGATTGAATATAACAGAGATCTAGATCAAAACAAGATGCGTCCCGAATACCTCGGCTCGTGGGAGCGGCGCAGTCTGTGTACACGCGTATTGTTGTATTGTATAGTTGTTCCGTACGCGGGAATGTAATCAATCGTGCTGATTTTATATCTGTGTTGTGCAATGTTTAAAGAGATTTACGAAAAGTGACTTTAGGTTGTGCTGGAAGACAACTAAGCAATTAAAAATGTCCTAAACTGCAACGTGTAATAAAACGCGGTCGTTATTAACATTGTTAGTTTATAATACATAGCGTGGCCCAGATAATTTTTATTATTAACTAGCCGGCCCGGCAGACTTCGTTGTGCCTCAATCGATAAATAAAATACCTAAACTTTAAACAAACAAAAGGAATTCGTCCGACGGGGGACACATCAAAGGAAAAACAAAATTGTTATTTTTAATTAATTCCGAGCATTTTCATATTTATCTACCTTTTAAACCTTCTCTGGACTTCCACAAATCATTCAAAACGAAAATTAGACAAATCGGTCCAGCCGTTCTCCAGTTTTATGTATAGATAAAAGAGGTGAGCCGAAGCTACGGCCGATCTAGTTTTAGCCTTTAGCATAAATGCAGGCTGACTGCACCACCAGTAAATTACTGGTGGTGCAGTCAGTTAGTCATTCAGTATTTTACAGTGAGCAGCCAGAGACCTAACATCGCCACTGCTTTCAGATGGTTAGCAGTTCGGTGACCACTCATTAGCCAGTGGTTCGAAGACCAAAAACTTCCCATCAGATGCAGTTCTGATAAGTAATGAAAGTTTTAGCAAAAAAAGTAATAATTGTCGCGTTTTCTTGAATTAAAATGAATCTATTAATTTACCTTAGCGCTGTATCGCTCAGTGGTTGAGAGCTGCCCCGTAATCCGACACTGTAACCTGAAACAGCGAACATTTTACAAATTACACATCGTTTATTTTGCGATTTTAATACTTTATGGCTATTTTATTTACTGATTAATTACTCAACTGCCCAAGAAGGATAGTAGCATCTATTGCTTTAGCGCCTCCGAGACTTATGGCAACGAGCGGATTGAATAGTAATTTTGAAATAAAACCAAATTATATATAACATTTTTTTTAGGAGACAAAAGAAATTAAAGAATACGTCCTGACTTTATACCAGGCTTTTCTGAGTAAATATTACGCATCAACATACGGTAACTGGAAATATTAATAGTAACTAGTGCTCCCCCGGTAGTTACTTACCAGGAAATATTATTATAATTAGTTGAAATTATAAGTTTGTACACTATTATGGTTCTATTGTCAAAGACTATTACACTTCTTTAATCACAGATTTCGCCAAGACTAAGCTTTAGACAAATAATATTAAAAACAAACAACATTTAATCTATTCTCAATTTGACCGCAGACTATAAGCAATAAGAAAAGTTTAACAATAAACAATAGTATGCATGCGTGCTGTATCAAATACATAGTAGTTTGTATAATGTTTTTTTGTTTATTGATTTAATGTATTTTTATGCATAATTTAAAAAATATATTAACATTCTGCACTCCTCTATATTTTCTATAAGTGTGGGAAACATACTCCTTCGTCTGCGCAATTTTCGTAAAAAGAGGTACGAAGTTTTTGCTTCACATATTAATATATTTATTTATTTATTTAATAAACAATGTTTCAACAGCATTTAACTAGACACAGGGTACAGAGGATGTTTTCCCAAACATGAGCCAATTAAAGAAACACATTATGTTTCCAAAAAATTTTAACATAATTAATGAACACAGGTAGTTCAACTAAGGTAAGGCAGTTAAATAGGTAAATTAACTTTGTCGAATGATAACTTGCAGAATAAGTTTGAATCTGATTGTGTTGTGTCGATGTGTGTAAGTGCGTGTGAGTGTAATGTAGTGGTTGGTTTACATGGACGCTCGAATTGATTATGAACGTTGATTGTTAATTGTAGAACACCAAAATACTTTAAAGATTATTATTTTTCAATTTGTAAATATTTTAAAGATTCAAACAATAACAAACCTTTAGCTTAACTTAACTTAAGCTTATGAACTGCAGCTTTGAACATAGTTTTGGATGTTGTAAAGATATCAATATCTGAATAAAACTTATTGTAGGTCTTTGGTAATCTAATAGACATATCATTAGCCGCGTAGTTAGTGCGCTCTAACGGTATATGAAAAAGATGCGTGTGACGAGTTCTTTTACCAGGGGCATTCAAGTTGAGTATTCTATTTGACAATTCAACACAATCTAGCTTTCCAGAACATATATCATGAAATACAGCCATGTCTTGCATCTCACGTCTCTCAGCCAGAGTTATGAGGCTGTGTTTTTGGCATGACTCAGTGTAGCCATCAATTTTTAATTTGCTTTTGAAATTCTTTGTTTTCTTTGAACCTCTCCTCTGACCTTATTCTGAGCCTCGGAACTTATAATCGATAAGGGCACACATGATACGACTACAGTGTTTTTATTTTATTGAAATGCTATAAACTAGGCTAAAAATGCATAGCTTGCCCCTAATAATCTTCAATATACGTCTCTCTAATCCGTGATGACTTTAAAAAACTATTTCTTCTCATTCGCGTTGTCCCAAAATGTGGGTTTCAAACAAAAAAATTAGTAATATATTATGTTAATTAATCAGCATGGCGGTCGCTAAGCGGTTTTCAACTTTCCATAATTTTAGAAAGTACAGATGGGTAACAAATAACATTTTGTTTTATTAATCATAAATCCTTTTTGTGCTTTATGGTTGGTAGTTCCTGGTCTGGTTTATTTAAGGTTTTGTTTTTCATTTTTCTGGTTTATTAACGACACCATATAACTATGTCTACATATATGTAGGATTGGTGGGAACGGAACGTGTGAAAAGAGAGTGGAACGGAGCGTTAAGATGTGAGTGAGAGAAAACGGAAATAAATTCTATGAAATAAAGGGAGAAGAGAATCACAGACAGAATGACAGACAAATATGAATATGGCGAAGACAGTTAAAAAATGAGCAAGGCGTAATAAAAGTGTTAGTTTTTTATTATTATTATAACAGAAGAGTTTGAAACAGTGTAATTTTTATTTTATGTGGTGCGATTACTATTCTACCTTTAAGTGGATATACTACAGGAAGTCAAATCCTAATTCGTGCTATCACTCATTTTCATAGATTTGGCTTAATTACAAATGTGTGTGTAGATCGAGATAAAACAAAAGTTATATGGTAGTAAAACAAATATAGAAATATATTTTTTAAAACTACAAGTCATGTTACGTGTACATAATATATTGTTTATTTTTATTGTCACTCTGGCAGCCCTGATCCCTAGAATCACGGCCAAACGATGATGTGAAAAGTGAAAACCATTAGATAGCACGTGCGGTCGGTGACCTACGCACACACTTACATAATTAAATTAAGCACGGACGCTGAGCTGCATTCAAATTTTATTTCACAGTATTCTAATAGATAAATAAATGCCGCAATAACCACAGCCTCCGCTGTTACTACATACCACTTTTGCATCATGAATTCGTAGTAGAATTTTAGCCTTATCTGGACCCCAGCCTCTTCCCACTCTTATCTTGTTAGTATACAATCGAATTGTGTACTAATCGGACCCCAACGTGTGTGCCTGTGGACGTCTCTTTAGAGCAGACATGCCAAGATTATGCAAAGCCCATAGTCACTATGTAACGAAGCAGTGCACCCCTAAGCATGTTTTTTTTTATTGCTTCGGTGGGTGAACGAGCTCACGGCCTAACTAAGTGGTTACCGGAGTCCATAAACATCTACAACGTAAATGCCGCCACCCACCTTGAGATATGAGTTCTAAGGTCTCAGTTAGTTACAACGGCTGCCCCGCCCTTCAAACCGAAACGCATTGCTGTTTTATGGCAGAAATAGGCGGGGTGGTGGTACCTACCCGTGCGGACTCAGAAGACGTCCTACCACCAGTAAAGACGTGAGATAAAAAGACTGCGATAACCTCCTGATGATCCGTAGTAGGAGCCGTCATTCCGACTGCTCCCACCACGTGGTGCCGACCCGTGGGTCAGCGTGTTACCACGTAATAAATTCGAAATCCGTAAAATTCTTGTTAACCTTCACCATCCAAAATGAATTCCGACTCCCAAATACATAATATTATCATTATTTGTCTGCTAAATTCAAATGAGAATAAAAATTCGTAACGCTTTTGATCTGAGCTGCTTTAGAACTAAAATAAAACTTAGAATTGGTTTAGTAATAATTATAAGATTTTATTTGAAAAATTAACGTTTGTTAGAAGAGGCGCGCTTTTCTTTTAATAGCTAAATTAGTAGAACATTAACGGTAATTAGAAAAAAAAAACTGGAAAAGCTCGAATCGCTTCAATAAGTGAGTTCTCGGTCTATGTGTAAAATGGTCACCGGAGCTTACGAACAAAGTGCATGCCGTGACCCACCTTGAGACATGAGGTTGGTGTCTTAATTGTATTGTATAACGGCTGTCTCATCTTACAAACAAGAACGCATTTTTAATGCCTTTGTTGACTGCCGTGCATTTACGGTCGAATTAAAATGACTGATTACAATGCTGAGTGGCTGATGTCTTTCAAGTCGCTGTTATTAAGCCACCACTTGGTACTTTATTATATAACAAAATTTCCAGAATGATTATATTTTAATTTCCTGTCACAAATTGTTATCGGAATTATAATTGATTATTGCCATCCCACCTTTACTATCTTCTGGTACAAGACACAGGAAATTGAAGCTTTACGAACGCGGCAGCATCTCGACTTCTTTTATAGTTACACAATATGAATCGTTAATGAGTTTTGACGAATCACAGAATAACTAATCGGCCTAGTTTTTAACTTGCTCTAAATGCGTAGACGATAGCCAATGACCCGCCCAATAACCGATTTAGTCTAGTAACGAACGTAGTAATGTTGAATGATTTCACAGAATGACATGTGTTCCTGCTGAAAGTTGGAATCTATCTATTTCTTGTCTGCAATAAGATCCATAGCGATTTAGAGACAGTTCTCAAAACTAACTATACCTACTGTTGTAACTATACTGAGAGACCTTAGAACTTATATCTCGAGGTGGTTGGCGCATTTACGTTCTAGATGTCTATGGGCTCCAGTAACCACTTAACATCAGGTGGGCTGTGAGCTCGTCCATCCATCTAAGCAAAAAAAAAAAAAATGGACAGGGAAGGAGCACGCAATGGGCTTGAAGGACCAACAGCTCGAAATAAGAAAATAAATAACTCGTCTAGAGGCCTAGACGGTTATATGTGCACTTTGCCAGACCCACAAAAAGTTCAATTACCACTCGCTCATAGAAGTATACTGTCAAGTAGCGTTTATGCAATAAGGTATATTGTAAAGTGAAAGATTTTTTACTAGATAACCCTGCGTGGGAGTGAAGTACTCAGTTCGCTAGAGATCTTTTCGTTCACTGCATATTTTAATTTTTATATATCTGTTTTGTGTTTAAATTACTAGTATGATGGCAAAAAAAAAACAGAATATAATAAAGGCAAGGTCGTTGATTTTGTTTCGCCGATTCTTCTAGTGACTGACTCTTCTTGCAACCGGCGGTAGAATGTATTTTGAATTTCAAAAGAATACACAATGACATCCAAATTGAAATAAATGAATTTGCATATGAAATATCTTTTGATTGTTTTTGAGAACCACCCCAAATTTTGCATACAGAAATGAGTGCGGGTGTTAATTCAAGCGAATAGTCATAAGCGGAGAAGTTACGAAACAATAGCAGTCTTATCTCATAAACCACAGCACTTGAACAAACATTCAAATGGTCGGTAAATATGTTGTATTTTGATTTCCTTTCACCGCGTTAATTGAGTACGATTATTTCAATTCCGGTGCAAGTTGTAAACTAAAA